TTTACAGGGAGCGAAGTTTTTTTATGAAATTTCGAGACAAAATTCACATACAAAAACGAATCGCCATAACACAATCATAATTATTTTCCATGTACTATTAAAGTGTATATTTGTCTGTATTAAATGAGCATAAATTATCTTAATTATTAATAGCGGGATGAGAGACAACGGGATTCTAAAATTTCCGGTTAATTGATCCAGGGCAGCGCTAGGCTAACCTGCCTGGATTAAAAGAATATATTTCAACTGATACACGAAACAAATAATAACAACATTCATATCTTTGAACAGAATAATTACTGTGTATCTAAAATGCATTTACACGAAACATATATTCCCTGTGACGATTGAGTATTGGCAACATTCTTATCTTTGAATAGAATAATTACTGTGCATCTATAATGTACAGCGTTGAGAATAGAGTAATAAAAGCAAGTGAATTTGGTGCAACTTATAGGACCTGAGAATTTGGACAAGTTCTTCAGGGCTTATACTTTCAAAATTCGCTAAGTGAGCGTAAGTACTTACGCTCTATTTTCTTGTCTACGATTGGTGGATTTTGCTTGAAAGGCCGTCAATGATTGGCTGATGAACTTACGATCTCTTAACTTTTTTGAAAGTATAGTATAGTATAGTATAGTATAGTATAGTATAGTATAGTATAGTATAGTATAGTATAGTATAGTATAGTATAATATAATATAGAGTATAGTATAGTATAGTATAGTATAGTATAGTATAGTATAGTATAGTATAGTATAGTATAGTATAGTATAGTATAGTATTTTCGGCATTAAAGAGTATAGGCCTGGATAGGCCTGTCGCTGATTCTTGTACTTTTCTTGACTAGACTGGCCTTTTGATCAGATCTTTTCAACGGACGGTAGATTTAAAATAGCTTCTAGATATCAGATGTTCCGTAGGGTACGAGGCATTTTAAGACTAAACATATGCTCATGCATGGCCTTGTCTATAGGCCCAGATCCGGACTGTAGCGCCAGATCCGCTGGTGCGGAGCGCTTGCGTCGCGCTGCCGCATTGGCGGAGCTCAGGGCCAATCAGCGACCTTGTCTCATTCTTAAACGTTTTGTTCAGAACGATAAGAAAGTGAGAGGAATGTACGTCATTCCTCTGTATTTACGTCTTTTTTCATGAGGCATGAGAGGAATGTACGTCATTCCTCTGTATTTACATCACGTTTTGTTCAGAACGTCAAGAAAGTGAGAGGAATGTACGTCATTCCTCTGTATTTACGTCACGTTTTGTTCTGAACGTCAAGAAAATGAGAGGAATGTACGTCATTCCTCTGTATTTACGTCACGTTTTGTTCAGAACGTCAAGAAAGTGAGAGGAATGTAAGTCATTCCTCTGTATTTACGTCCCGTTTTGTTCAGAACGTCAAGAAAGTGAGAGGAATGTGCGTCATCCTCTGTATTTACGTCGCGTTTTGTTCAGAACGTCAAGAAAGTGAGAGGAATGTGCGTCATTCCTCTGTATTTACGTCGCGTTTTATTCAGAACGTCAAGAAAGTGAGAGGAAGTCATTCCTCTGTATTTACGTCCCGTTTTGTTCAGAACGTCAAGAAAGTGAGAGGAATGTACGTCATTCCTCTGTATTTACGTCCCGTTTTGTTCAGAACGTCAAGAAAGTGAGAGGAATGTACGTCATTCCTCTGTATTTACGGCATGTTTTGTGAGGCATGAGAGAAATTTGCGTCATGCCTCTGTATTTACGTCTTTTTTATGAGGAATGAGAGGAATGTACAAGTTAGCCTAAACCTGTTACTGTTATTGTTAACATAAAGCCTGTCATGACCTTTATTCCGCAGCCACAACTTTCCCTACACCTTTTCATGGGTTAAATTAACTTTGCTAACAACATATGCCTAAAAAACTCGTGCGCAGTCAAAATAAATAATTTATTGTCGGCAGTTAACTTAATTGATAAGAGACTTGCTCAATGGAAGTTAATTACTGAACGTAAATTTTTCAATTACGGCCGAATGAAGTGATTTTCTTTGAATAGATTTTGTTTTTCATGGCTTTGCTTCAGCGTTCATTATTGTACATAGTATGTACACCGTGTCTTAGTATCATTGTCTGAAAAATGTATTGGCATTGGTAATCTATTCAAATTTAGAGTACGCGAAAAAATTTTAATATCTGATAATATTTTTACTGATTGTGATGTGGAGAGAAAGCGGAATCCTGATGAGAAGGCTACCAGAATAATCTGTAATATGGCGATATATCAAAATAATCTGTAATCTAACGAAAATCTGTTTAAATTTTCGTTTTTTATTATTTTATCTAGAAATTAACAGATACTTATCTGGACCACAGATTGAATTCTAAAATTGTTTTAAATAATGAACTGAAATAGTAAGGTTTGTTTATAAACGTGTGTCTTTATAGGAATATTTATGTAATAAATACCACAATGTGTCTGCGGTAGCAATGAAAACTTGCTAGTTAAAGAGGGATTCGTTTCTTACCCCATGAAACTCAGTTTTTTTTTTAATTGCAATAAACATTTTTGCACGAATGAAATTGTACGCATGCTTAATTTCTTTCATGCATTTATAACTAATTAAAGATGTTCTATATCAACTAAATGAGTTTATTCTGCGTGCGGTAATTTATTTTTTCTTACGATGAGTGTGAAATTAGTTACGTAAAAATCATCACCGATTTTAAGACCCATTGAAATCCCTATAAAAACATATCCTGCATCGGCTGTTATTCCCACTGCAGAAAGTAGCTCCTACGTTAGGCCGATCAACTTTTCTCAGGATGTCAGACGAATAGACTTGGATAGAAGAAATTTTACGACCGGGCAATTGTTAAACTTTTTGAGCGCTGTTCGGCAATTTGCCTAAATTGGGGCCATCTTCTGAGAAATCCGGTGGCAGCAAAAAAGCCCTAATTACCCTTTGTAAACAAGAGGCTTTATGCTGCTCTTACAATCGCCATGTCTTTTTACAACACTTCTCTTTAACTTCACCTCTTGCTGTTTGTCTGCTACAAATCTTATAATTGATATTTAACACACTTCTACCTGTCCAATCGATCTGAAATTTTGCACACTTGCGTAAAGTCGAAGACAATGCATGGATCAATGGAATGAATAAATAATTTGAAAACTTGAAAAAAGTGTGGTCCTTAAAAGTACTTTTTAAACGCATATTATTTAATTATTTTTATTAATGTTTTTATTTAATTTTGTAATGTGTTTTTCGTCGAACTTACGATGACCTGCATCCAAACTAAACATGTGTGATAATTTACAGTTAAAAATTGACCGGTACGTGTTTTTTTTAAAGAAAAATTGTAAAAAATAGGCCAAGAAACTGTTCTCAGTAATCTGCCCATGTGGAACTCAAAACTGAACTCTAATTGAACAACTGAAAAAATGTTCTAAACTAATGAAGACATGGAAATGATTGATATTTCTTATTCACAATTAAGTTTTGAAGAGGAATTTTGAAATGTCCAAGAGAATTTGGCCTCGTGAACATATTTATACTTTTGCAAAAGGAACAATAATTGCTAGGGTTTGTGATATAGTTTTTCTGGATATGATACCATTAATATTCATTAAAAATATGATTAAAAATTTACAAAATCCCAATTCGACAGCTAGGACAGTCTCCATTGTTCCATCACCCAAGCTAACGCTGTAGTTAACAGGAGTCGGATTATTGGTGTGATAACAATTGTTATCACTCACACATTGAGTGATAACAACAAAAAGGGGTTATGATGCATTTTCGGATCATGTTAATAACTCAAACATCTTGTTTATGGACTTCTAGGTGATGGAACCCTGTAAAGTACAAGTAATAAATTTTTTTTACATGTTTTTATAAAAATTATCAGGTAATGAGGTTGATTATTTAATTAATTAGCTCGCACAATTAGGTAAACTATGACCGAAAGACGCGCAGTGATTGTAATGACATATATGGTAACACGCACGACGATATATGGTAACTTCTTCATTTGCTCATGCATGTCACTAAACATTGAATTTACTGCTGAATTTTACAATTATCTGTGTAGCTGAGGTGTTATTTTCTTTTCCTTATCGAGTTTTAGTCGGAATACATGAACAATGTCAAAATTTAACTTCGTTTGCGTGGATCACTCCATGGAAGGCGTTGAAGTTTCCAAAGATTCTTTAATTTCAACGTCTGCGTTTTCAAATTTTGGATTTAATATTTTCTCAAGAACGATTGCATTATTATATTTAATATATTATATTATATAACAATATAATATAATATAACAATATAATATAATGCGGGCTTGAACTCGCAACTCACTGCTTAATTTTTGCTTAACCGCCCGGCCTCCTTGCCGATTGTGACCAGAAACTGGCGCACAGAGCTGGGATCGAACCCGCGCCTCTCTGCTCCAATCTTGGTACTCTGAACTGCAACCACTGGGCCTCAATAAGAAGGAAATGGCCTCATTAATGTGGCTATCAGAGGCTCCAAGAATTCTCAAGGCTCCTCCATTAAGGCAGCCAAAGACTATAAGATGGTAAAAGGCCACCACAGGGCAAGAGTTCTTTTGTTCTTCTATTTTTTTCAGTGTAAGCGGATCATTGCAGGATACTGACACACAGTTTTGCTTCCATTTTTTCAAATGCATAAAAATGAACAGTGCCAAAAAATAAATGCAAAAAATTGCATTTTAATTCGATAAAAATCATTCATTGCCAAAAAAATTGCATTTTAATTCGGTGAAAATTATCTATTGCCAAAAAATTGTATTTTATTTCGATGAAAATTATTCATGTGTCTTACATTTAATGTGATTTTAGTTCGGTAGTTATAACTTGATGGGAAAGTTTTATGAAAATCTTACAATTTTATCCCGATTATCTGAATTTTTTCGAGCAGTATTTTAAGTCAACGGTGAAAGACATGTAAAAGAGGGAAGAACTGTATTTATAAAAATATACATAAAAATGATTTGAAAATGCCTTTTTGACGAAATGTTTCAAGTATTTTTATTTTAATTTCGTGTCTCACACGAAAAAAAGTTTGTTGAAATTCTTGCAAGTAAATGTTAAGGATAGCCATGGTAATGGTAATTTGTTTCAATTTGATGTTAATGATAGTCGTGACTTTGTAATTAATCAAATTTATTATTAATGATAGCCGTGATCGTGATGAGCATATCCGCTGTACGACACGTGTGCCTGGTAGCCGTGTTTATCTGCCGTGTACTTCACCTTCTGCACACGGCCGTCGGGCAGGTGCACGTAGTAAGACCCTGCAGAAGAAATACGGCAATTAAAGTACGTCCACGCGGAGAGATTGCTATCCTGGGTCAGATATACGGTTAGTAGAGTACATCCATATGGACGGATTACTATAATGAGTCAAAAATACGGTTATTGTAGGGCACGTCCACATGTATCCAGAATACTATCCTGAGTCAGTAATAAGGTTTGTAGAGTACGTCCACATGGACGGAATGCTTTCCTGAGTCAGAAATACGTATAGTAAATTACGTCCACATGGACAGAATACTATCCTGAGTCAAAAATACGGCAATTAATGTGCATCCACATGGAGGGAATGCTATCCTGAGTTGGTAATACGGTCAGTAAAGTACGTCCACTTGAGCCAGGACTTCGGCCAGGTGGACTAGCTATGGCAATGGACTCGATCTTAAATACGGTCATCAAACACGTCCACATTAACCTCAGTGTCATTTGATGCGTTATCTGGTATTCTGTTGCAAGCGTCATCGTTGAAAACAAATATTTTACAAATCCAGACCTTCGCTATTAGTAAGTCTTGCCCATACATGTAATTAGAGCAGGCATTGCCCATAGTCAGCCTTACTCTCAGAGAAGACTTACCCTATGACCTACTTTATTCCAATATTGTAGAGTACTACCCTTAGTCACACTCACCCTTATTATGCATCACTCTTAGTGTGCCTCACCCTTAGTGTGCCTCATCCTTAGTGTGCCTCACCCTTAGTGTGCCTTACCCTTAGTGTGATGTCCATCCCTGTGCTCCTCATGGCCAAAGTCCAGCCCTTTGTATTGGTCGACGACGCCATACTTGAAGTTGTAGTGCGCCGGCTTCTGCGAGTGTATGGGGGAAGATATTGCTAATTATTACAGGTGCGATCAAAATTTATTATTTATATCTGCAGTTGATAATGTAAAATAATTGCAATTTTTTTTAATTTTCTGGAATTGTATTTTTATTCCGGGAATAAATGAGGTATGGGTTTTATGAAAAGTAAATTTTCTAGATGTTCTAGGAATCAATTAGTTATATATGACACCTATTTTACCAGGCCTACGTATACAACAAGTGTAATAAACGCACTCAATTTACAATAAAATAGGTTTCACTGTACACATGGGTGGTGTACACTATAGAAGCACTGTCTGTGTTGTACACTACCTATTAAAAATCTTGGATTTAGACGAGTGGTCGCCATCTCTAGACCATCTCTAAAAGTGGTCGCCATCTCTAAAAGATTGATTAAATAGATAAAACTATTTAATCAATCTTTTGATCAATCTCCACACGAATAATTTGTTTCTGATACACAAAATTGGGTGCCTTATGCAAGGTTATTATGATATTGCTGATACACAAAATTGGGTGCCTTATGCAAGGTTATTATGATATTTCTGATACACAAAAAATTCTTATTTTTTTAGAATTACTGGACATTTCATTTAACATTTCATAATTTTGTGTAAAAAGATGGGTAAATTTTTATGTTTTTGTAGGGTGAATGGTTAATTTCTAAATCTTGTGTAAGGTGATCCGTAAATTATTGTATTTTTGTAGGGTGACTGGTAAAATCCTGTAGTTTGTGTAAGGTGAAGGGTATAAATTCTTATGTTTTTGCAGGGTAACTGATGAAATCCTATAGTTTGTGTAAGGTGATGGGTAAATTCTTATGTTTTTGCAGGGTAACTGGTGAAATCCTATAGTTTGTGTAAGGTGATGGGTAAATTCAGTCACAAAGACTCACATGGAAATCGTGGTGTCCATAATCAGCCCACGACGAGGCTAGCAGAGCCATTACAGCGGCGGCCAGCAGGTAAATCTGTTCAAAATACTTTTTCTAAATTCTTATATAATTTTGTGACCTGATAGCCGTGTTTACATTCATTAATTGAGACAATATGAAGGTGTAAAGATGAGCTGACAGGACGGTAGTTATTTATAATTTAGAAATTGTGGATGATAGCGAATGATCCTAACAGGGAGACATAACATTTCTCAAGGTAGCCCTTATAAACAACTCAATTTATGATCATAAATCATTTGATCACCATTAAAAACATGACACAAATGCTCACCATTACCGACATGAGTCATTTGATCACCATTATAACATGACTCACCTTGTAAATCATCGTAACTGATTTTTAATTCCGGAAGATCGTCTCTCAAAGAAATGAAATGGAATCGTCTGTACTGCTGAAAATATATTAATTTTTGTTATTGACCAAACCAATTTGAAAGTTTATTGCATTAAACTTATTGCTTTTATTTATTCTGGAAAGGAGAAATGATATCACATCCGGGAAAATTTTGGCCACACTGAATTCTCTAAACGATTGGACAGTAAAAATTACATAGTAAATTGGTTTATATAATAAATATCTAATCTTTGAACCTACAGCGCTATATATTATTTACAATTGAAAGAAAATAATTGTCTCAGAAAAATTGATAAAAATTAATTTATTTTAAGGTAAGATTTGAGACTCGAGTCGGCAAGGCTAAATCTTAAATGAACTCTGCAGAAAATCTCAGTACTAATAGTCACGACTTCTATGTTCGGTCAATACGCGCAAAATAATCACATAACTGTTCAAAATAACACGAATTAACGCAAACAAACAAACTATGAATTGTTAGTAAGTGAATTATCTGAATTTTCGAATAGAAATATAAAATGTTAATTTATCTAGGGGTGTGGTCACTCTAGTAGCTGTGAGGTTTTCGACGGCGGTGGGAGTAGAATGGCCTCTAGAGCCTACAGCACCTATGCTTTTATAGAGTGATACGTTTTCTCAAACTTTTCACGACTTATTCTTCTCTAAATAGAGCGTAAGTGTTTCACATCTGCAGGAGTCGTAAAATACATATCAAGACTTGGTTGTAAAAAGCGTTATGACATCTTTAAGCTCACGCCGTCCGTTCCGCTTACGAAAAATGACGACTGACTGAACACTGAACAGACTATATAGTCTGTACTGACTGTATACTGACTATATTAATGTACAGACCATATTATATAGGCAAACGATGACCGACTGTACAAACTGACTATATAGGCGAATGACAACTTATTTATAAATTAACAAAACAGTCGAAATGAAGGTTGACTAAACAGATGACTCACAAGTGACTGTACAGACTGACTGTAAAGATCATTGACTGTACAGCTAACCGATAGTTCTTTCATATCGATCAGAATAATGATTAGGTAGTGAAAATAAAACCTATAAACTGTCAGGGGTTATATATATAGAACAAACGATATGCAGCTCTATGATTAAATATTAATCAGGGCCTATACTTTCAAAATTCGCTAAGTGAACGTAAGTACTAACGCTCTTTTTTCTTGCCTGTGATTGGTGGATTTTGCTCGAAAGTCCGTCAATGATTGGCTGATGAACTTACGATCTCTTAACTTTTTTTGAAAGTATGGACACAGCAGGTATCCTTCAAACAGCATCACAGAAAATCGAGGTTTGCATGGCAGTTTGAAAGGGAATTTGAATAGAACACAATCAAAGATTGTTATCTTAAGATAACCGAACCATTTTCTTCAGTCCATCTGTCTCGCAATATCGTACGACGGATTGCAAGTCCGGCAGAATAGTTCTTTACGTGAATCCGGAGTAAAAAAATATTCCAATTCATATTTCGACATCGGTCAATTGATGAAACAACAGAGATTTCATGGAATTTGTATTGAATTGTTTTAAAAGTTTAATGCACATTCATATTTTCAAGGCAAGTAGTTCATTTATCATTTATGCAACTATGTAATTCATTGGTGAGTAAAAAGACTTGTTAATATTCATTAGTCGCTTTATTGTACGGAAAAGAGAGCTCGTGATATTTTCATGATGATCACAGGTTTATTGTTTGTTAATAACATCAAGATTTCTAAATTATTATCACTATAAACGGTAAATTAGACGAGATCAGTGCTAATTGGTATCCTGCTTGTCTATTAATTTTGAATTTCTAATTAATCCAAAGCTTCATTCGGCCACGATTCAATATATGCCGGAAGAATTTTTTTTAAAGACACAATTATCTTTTTTCTGCAAATAAACAATCGAAATATATTTTTTAATACAAAAATATCATGAGACCATGTAGCAAATTGTGACGCACGGTTTATCATGACACTTTACGCAGGGTCTGAATATCCTACATGGATATGGATGTCCTCCGTTGTGTCTTTCAGTGTCCATTGAGATGTCCACCAGGATTTCTTCATGATTTTCAAGTGGAATTCAAATTAAAATAATGTCCTTAATCCTTGATGCTTATCCTTTGTGCTCCGTCACTGTGTTTTTACGAAGGTCCCCATTGTGACATCCTGTTTTGTTTATTATTTAACTTGTCTATCGCCCATACCCCCTATATGATGCCCCCCCCGCCATGTTGCCGCCATTGAGAGGTTCCCTCATCTGCCCTTAATAACCCCCGCCATGGTGCCCCCCGTACCCCCCATGTGAGGGGTAGTGCGCGTGCCCCTCGTAGGATACGATGGGGCGGTAGCCGTGCTCGTCAGCGATGTACTCCACCTTCTGTAGCCGCCCGTCAGGCAGGTTCACGTAGTATGAACCTGGGGCGAAAATATACCTTGTTGAAGTATTAATTTAATGTTAATTAAGTATATTATTAAAAATTTAGTGGAAGATAGGTGTTATTGACTAGACAATAAAATATTTATTTGATGGCGAACCTGGGGGCAAAAATATGCTATCTTAAAGTAATATTAAATATAAGTATGAAGTATTATTAAGTAAAGTGTATTAATGAAGTATATTATTAAAAATTTAGTGGATGATAAGTGTTATTGACGAGACAATAAAATATTTATTTGATGGCGAACCTGGGGGCAAAAATATGCTATCTTAAAGTATTTTTAAATATAAGTATGAAGTATTATTAAGTGAAGTGTATTAATGAAGTATATTATTAAAAATTTGGTGGATGATAAGTGTTATTGACTAGACAATAAAATATTTATTTGATTGATGAACCTGCGGGCGAAAATATGCGTTGTTGAAGTATTAATTTAATGTTAATTGAGTATATTATTAAAAATTTAGTGTAGGATGTTGAAGTATTATTAAGTGAAGTGTATTATTGAAGTATATTATTAAAAATTTAGTGTAAGATGGGTGTTATTGACTAGACAATAAAATATTTATTTGATTGACGAACCTGGGGGCGAAAATATACGTTGTTGTAGTATTATTAACTATAATAATGAAGAATATTGTTAAAAAATAATGTTAGGTGGGTACTATTGAATAGACAACAATTTATTTATTTTTTGTTACAGTATTATCAAGTTACGTGTATAATAAGTATTTCATTAAAAATTTAGTGTTAGGTAGGTGCTATCGAATCGACAATAAATAATTAATTGATTGATGGTTTACATCTTTTATCTTGATTAGTGCAAACATTCCGTGTTAAATTTATTTTTGCACTTCCTGTTTTTACTTAGGGTTGAGGCCTAAATTTTACAGGGTTTCTTTGATTTCTAATAATTTCAATATATTTTTAATTAAACATAAAATGTATAAAATATTCATGCCTAGGTTACAAGGGAAACAAATTTGGAAACTATGCAAGATAATCGCTACATTAAGTGTTGATCTCGAAAACAATAATAAATAATCAATAGTTGCAGGGTGACACTCACCCCTGGTGGTGTACCCCTCCCCCCACACTCACCCCTGGTGGTGTACCCCTCCCCCCACACTCACCCCTGGTGGTGTACCCCTACCCCCCACACTCAGCCCTGGTGGTGTAGCCCTCCCCCCACACTCACCCCTGGTGGTGTACCCCTCCCTCTCCTCCTGGTGCCCAAAGTTCGCCCCGTGGTGGGGGTCATGGACCCCATACTGGAACCCGTAGTGGGCGGGGCCCTGGGGGTAATTAAATAAAAAAAAATATAACTCAGTACTCACTGCAGTGAGTGACAGAGAGCTCATTTTCTCGTCGACGAAAACTTGAGGTCACGGACGGACGGACAGACAGACAGATGGACAGACAGACATGGCGAGCACAATAGTGCATTTTTCCATAAATGAGAAAATGCGCAAAAAAGCAATTAAAATTGAAATAATACTGTTATAATTAATCAATTAAGACGTTAGCATTAGTGAAAATCCTGGCAATTGATAGCGATAGGGATGGCAGAAAATGAAGCGGTTTGCGACCGTTAAAAACAATAAAATTTAGAGTAGAGTTAAAATATTGAGTCAAAGTGAAAGTTGAAATTATTAAATATCGAATTTATGACATACCCTTCCAGGTAGTGTTCAGGAAAAAACTTATTAAAGCGACCCTATTGCATGATTCGTTTTAGTAATTTACTTTATAATTTTATTAAAATAAACATTTCTCACGTAATATTCTTGACGGTAGCCATGATGACCTCCATATCCACCATGTCCACCAAGATGGCCACCACCAAATCCACCATGTCCACCATAGTCACCAGGTGTAGGTGCCGCTAGGGTGGCCACCATGAAGATGGACAGCAGGATCAGGCATGCCTGGTTGGCATATTAAAATTTGTAATAAGGCAATAAACAATATATTTTTAATAATATCTATTGATAATATATTGATTGATTTAATATATATTGATTTATTAATATATAATATATTAATATATATATTTTTTATGCATTTGTAGGTATATTAAAATTTGTAATAAGGTGTGCAATATCTGTAAACAATATATTTTTAATAATATATATTGATAATATATTGATTGATATAATACATATTGATTTAATAATATGTATATAATACATATTAATATATATAATATGTTTTTTTAAGCATTTGTAACGTTACATTGAAAACTCACTCCATTATTATACCCATTTTCGAACTGCATAGGTATGACTGTACCTGTTGTCGGCACGATTATTTCGTTGTTAAATTAACTATGCAGTCTGACAACGGTTAGACTATGAGTAGACTTAATTAAGACGCCTAATTAATTAATGAATTATTAGACGCCTTAATTAAGTGTCTGGTAGTGCTGGTGATCAGGATACATGACAACATGTATCCTGCAGTATGTGTACTCATAGCAATGCGCGTGGCTTTTATGTAATTTATTATTGGTTACTTAAGGATTATCCTTACAATTATCCTCAAGGATAATTGGATTATGGATTATCCTTAAGGATTAAATCTGTAAAGTTTGTGATAATTCAAGTCGATGCGCGTTGACTTCAGTATATATCAGGTACACGGTTGTGAACGATAACTAGTACAAATACTTACTGACCGTACGTTTTAAAATCTCAAAGTATGACTGTGAAAAATGTTCGGGAATAATATCATGGGATTCATTTTTCGAAAAACTAGTGGGTTGACTCGGGAGACTTGTTGCCGGAGATATTCATATTATTTCTACAATAGTTTTTCCAAAAACCGTCACTACGAATACATCGTCCAGAATTTATTGATCAATTAATAATTAAGCAACTAAAAAACGATATTTTTAAACTAATTCGTTTCAGCCAACATTTATCATAGAACTCCCATTTAGCTTCCGGTTGGAAACCCAAGTAAATTTCGATTTACCGCATAAAACGAATCATATATAACGCACCAAATTAAAAATTTAATTTAGATTTCTTGCATTCCCCCATTCCACTCCTTGTCTTTAGTACACAAGAAAAAACTTTGACAAAATGAATAAAAATCTAGAATAGCTTTTTAAGTGTGAAGCTGGAAATGATTTTTTTTATGGTAACGGTTTCCTCTAAGCCTTATTCCGGTTGCGGTTGACTGCCCTTGAAAAATTCATCCAAATAAATACCCATTCACTGTGAGTAAAAATCATGAGCCTTTTTACAGGTGCCCAGAAACCAATGACCGATTATCAATGAATGATACAAATTTTCAAACTTTATCTATCGTACACATTCTATTACTACACGTGAAAGCAGTAGATATTTCGTAACGATTCTTTACGAGCAGTAAAGATCGCAGTAAACTCGTTGCGGTCACGGCACTTGGGAAGAAATTGGGCCATTGCGTCGACGTCCAACCTCGCTCACGTGTTTGCTGCAATATCACTTATCTTCATGTTTCCAAGTTATTAATTCTTCTTACTGAAGGAAATGATATATATGCTGCAACTTGCAACAACTCTCAATACGCCGGCTTCAACTTGTGATAATTGCATAACTTGAATTAAGATCTCCTTGCGATCTGAATGGTATTTTTAGCGTCTTAGTGCCAATTTTTGTTTCCTGATTAGTTTTATACTGCTATTTGAGATTATTTATTTAATTTATTAATTATGTTTTCTAAAGTTTAATGATATTCTATCATATATGGTAACTTGTAACTTAAAGCGCCACATTAACATCATTTATATGATTTATTTGATGCGGTTCCAGCAATATCTTCGTAAAAACATGAATAAAAATTTGCTTGCGATTTCCTCTTTAACTTATTTATTATGACGCGAAATCACTAAATAAATCTTTTGTTCGGATCACCACTAATACCAAGTCACAATACTCGAAACGATTCTACGTTAAAAACGATCGGAAACTTGATTCCTAAGAATTTCATAATTATGTAAATGTCATAAAAAACATGGAAGAAAGTTGAAAATTTTGTTCATCTGACGGTTTAAACTCGCATTCATTTCATTTAAACATCAAGTGAAAAAAATTTTGCCATACATTTTTATTTCTTAAGAAGTTTTCACCGAATGTCGGCACATATTTGTTCAAGAATGAAATGCATGCACTGCGACATGCTCGGCCTATTTCCTTGATTATTTCATTAGAAGCAAGAGAGGAAATGAACCGCCATGCGTTCCTTAAGAGTCATGTTAGAGTGGCAGCAGAACGGGGCAAGTAGAGCGAGACGCCGCCTCTAACACGGCCCTGAACGGCCTTAACGCTCCCTTGACGACCTGACTTGCGTTACTGTGTAACGTTGTTGTGACGTTACAATCCATGAACTGTGATATACGTTATGATCAAGGAGAGGGAAAATACGGCAGTGAAACCTAGGCTTTACAATTCGCGAAATACAGATTATGTGTGGTGTAACTTTACAGTACGGTTAGAAGCCGTAAATGACCCAAAACTTAACGATAATCTCATCTAAAGCAGAGAAGTCCTTCTTCTTTCATTCAACTCGTTCATTATTTATGAAGTAATTTATCTCGGCACGGCATTACATGCGTTGTCTGGGATCAAAGGAGGTAAAGTTTCTTGTATATCTCGAGAAAGAAATTCTATAGAGTCTCGCAATAAGACGGGTTTACGATGATACGTTCCCTGAGTTTGTTCCTGATAAAGCTGAACAAATTGGTTGAACCCAGTGTACATTCACACAAATTGGAGAAATTAAGAACCAACGAAATTTTAATTCATAATTCTACATTTATGTGAAATTATTTCCATGGCGAGTTAAAAATAACATTATACATCAGTTTTGAAAATAATTACCATACAACTAATTATATTATTCGTCATTAAAATACAATACAATTCATTTGAAATCATTTGAAAATTAAAATACCAATTTTTCGGGAACCTGTTTTTGAATACCTGTAGTGTAGGTGGAATAATTTTATTCACATCTTAATTAGTAAACACGATTATTTCATGCACTATACTCACTATGCCAGGAACGTTGCAGAAGCTCATGGTTTTCATCCTTCAAGCTTTCGATGAATCAGAATCGAAAAAAACAGTCACTGATCTGAAATTTATTTTTGTTCGGTGTTTAAAATATCGCGAATATCTAGGTGAGAAGATTGCAATACGTTCTGGAGCCTGGAGCACTTTTCGGCCAGTTCAAGTCTCGTTTTCATGAAACTGAAGAACGTTGAAGTTGATATCTAGTTTCAGTTTCAAGAGACTGGTCAAATTTGAAGTCGATTTCTAGGTTCGTTTTTAGGAGATTAACGTGCCTTCAAGTCGATTTCAGGTTTCGTTTCGAGCGTAAATTTTCGGTGCGACCCTATCGATGTCGTTGCCCTACAAGAGATGAGCGTGTCCTAGCCACGGCAGTTTATATAGTCACCTTGCAGGATCTGTCGTATCCTACGCAATGCCGTGCGTGTGGAGATGGCCGCACTTACGAGGTTGGATGAAGCATCACGCACAGGCAATGTGCATCTCACTCACGCATGCGTGGAACATCATTGCCATATCTCAAGCATGAATAAGGTACCTTCACGCATGGATTACTTAATTCTTGCATCATACATGGAGCCACAGATCAATCTTGATGAACACCATGCACGTTATCTCATGCACGTTATCTGTTCAATGTCACAGCGCAGCGTCGGTGGCAAGGAAAGAAGAATTGCTCTTTATTTATATTCGTGAAAATTACCGAAGTTTTCATCAGTATGTCATAAAGATGATGTTATCATTCCTGTTAATTAATGAGATGATCATTGCATCATAAGAATGGAGAACAATAGATAATAATCATTGATCAGGCGTAACTGCTGAAAAGCAGCACAAGCGACAAGATACGTTTTGATCGGATTAGGCAACTTCGAACAGTGGAAATTAGCCCCAAATATATGACCGAAAGTCCTGTCATAAGTAAAATTGAGAGTTATTCCTAATTTTTTTGTGGGCATTGGAAGACTGACAACAGTGGATTGAATGAAACGGTTTGTAAAATATATTGTGGATTAAATTACACTTTTCCCATTAGGAATGTACTAAATGCAATGTTTACAACACGGTCTTGTTATATAGGGCTGTTTTAGGTAGCGTGGACTAGAATAAATAGTTTCCAATGAAGCCAGGTTAGATTAAACTATTTTAAGTAGCGTGGACATGAGTATATAGTTTCAAATAATCACTAGTTAATTTAATTTATTTTAAGTAGCGTGGGCTCGAATACGTTGATTCAAGTACTGATAGATTATATCTGACTGTTCTATGTAGCGAAGACTAAACTTTATTATTTTCAATGTTGCCACAGATTGGTCAGTTTCAAGTAGCATGGCCAAGAATGCATTATTCTCATTACGGTTATATTGCATGGTTTACATCTCGGCGAGAATCAAATTAGACTGCTAGCATTGTGGGTGTGAGGCCGTATTGAAGCGAAAACAATACAAATCAAAGTCCCATTTATTAGAGGTGAACTGTTCACTTTGTAATAATATTGAATTTAGTCTGATAAATTAAGTGAATTTAAATTAGCAGTTCAATAATACATATTTGTCTGCATTTGAAATCTAATCGACTTCTATATAATTCATTTATTGATGAAATAAACAGGGAGCGATCGAAGATGGTTAACTTCCTCACGTTGAAGGCACGCGTCAAGTTACGTTAAACCTCAAATTTAATCAATGAACGACGTAAGAGATCACATATTATTATTATAGTAAAAAGCTATTATCATGGCGTTGAGCAATATTGAGCTAACGTTTAGGAATTCGGAACATAATTTTCGGTTTTCTTTGCGGGGAAAATTCAGGTTTTGCAGTTCTTTGGTGAAACTCTTTTGCTTTCTGAATCGCGAGTGTGGATGTGTTGTTTTCTCACTTGCTGTTAATATTGAGATGAATTAGTATTTAAAAAATCAAACGAAAAAATAACAATTGTTGTCATAAATAAAATAACAATAGTCGTGTCGTAAATTGTATCGGAAAAAGTTTCCACGATGACTCCTAAGAATGAGGTGATTTTGAGATGTGAAAAATAAGAAACTAATTTTTAGTGCTCTAATGGCGTTATTAAACTTATTTGCGATGATCCTTCGTTAATGTAATAGTATTTTAGTATTCACTGCGCTGTGACGTCGTCGTGACGTGAGCTACTGAACGTGTCACGGCCTTCACGCTTCGCTGACATCGCATGACGCCGTCCAGTCGTCACACGCTGTCGCTATACACGCACCACTTAAGCTTACACTGCGAAGTGCTGAATCTAAAATGTATTGATAGTCATCTTTTATACCAATATAAACGTAATGTTATCATTAATTACTGTACAAACTATAAAAATAAAAATGATGCTGAGAAATTTTGGTAGTTAAATTGCGAGTTTCAAAACGTGGACGTAGAATTCTGCATGACAGAATTCTCAGTCAAAAACCGCAATAGAAGCAACCATGAAAAGCAGTCGTATAAGTTAACGCCATCTCTCGCACATGTACGAGACGCACATGTACGAGACGCACATGCACGAGACGCACATGCACGAAACGCACATGTACGAGACGGGCATGTACGAGACGCACATGTACGAGACGCACATGCACGAAACGCACATGTACGAGACGCGCGTGTATGAGACGCGCGTGTGCGAGACGCACATGTACGAGACGCACATGTACGAGACGCGCGTGTACGAGACGCGCATGTATGAGACGCACATGTACGAGACGCCCATGTACGAGACGCCCATGTACGAGACGCCCATGTACGAGACGCACATGTACGAGACGCACATGTACGAGACGCACATGTACGAGACGCACATGTACGAGACGCACATGTACGAGAC